ATGATACATGGAACCCTTTCCCACCGCTTCCACATAAGCTTATGTAAAGCTCTTTTTATCTTTCAACAAATTGCTTTCAAGTTTTTTTAAAAAAAGCAAAAATGTATTTTTCCCTACAAGCCTGACATCTTTCTCATGTACAAAGGAATGACACATTTTAAAAATGTACTTTGGTCCTTTCAAGGAATCTATTTTCCAGCTATTTCCTGAAAGACTACATGATACACAAAAGCAGTCCAACTGTCTTATCTTTGCCTTTTTTAAGGAAAACAAAAATGAATTCACCTCCTTAACATTTATTTCACAGTCCTGAGCAGTTTTACTTGTCTAACAAATATTTAATAACCATCTACATCTTTTAAAATATATTCTGCTCTTTGGCCTGGTTGAAATAACTAATGGAACATCCCAGAAGGCTGCGCCTTCCATTTCTGAAATAATCCAGGGCAGGTAGCATCTGCGAAGCTTCTTTCTGTGATTGCCAGGGCATGCCAGCCGGCCATTGTCTGCATGTACAAAGCAGACATCATCAAGACAGGCCAGAAGAGAAATAACCTCTGTCCTGGAATCACAGGGGACAACTCTGTTTCTAGTACCTCGGTCTTTATCAGCTTATCCATTCCTGACACTGCAAAGCTCTGAGATCCCTCTCACCCAACCCTCCACGTCTGGCTTCCTGCTCTCAGATGACCAGCTGGCAGTTCGGGCTGCTGCTACCTGACTCCTCTGCACACTGACTGTGCCTGTCTCCTCCGACCTCTGCCTTCTATCCGCTCCAATTTCCAAAGCACTAAGAAGCAGCTTTCTCCTTTTCACATTCCCTAGTAACAATGAACTGTGTTTTAATAAGTTACGAAATAAAAATTACATATTCTATATCTTAAAGAATGCCAAAACCTGTCAGCTAAATTTCTTAAGTCTATGTCTCTCTCATTTTCATATTACCTGAATAATTTTATCACCAGCTGCTGACATTTGACTGATGTTCTGTATTTTGAAGAATAATACACAAATCTGCTCCTTAACTGGACTTAAGTATAGATAACTCCACCTTAACAAACACACATATAGCATGTACTTTGTGACTCATTTAAATGTCAAATAATTCTACAGGATGAGTACCACTATCATTACTATTTTGTAGATGGGGAAATTAAGACACAGAGAAGTGAAGTAACTTGTGCAGGCACACAGCAGGCAGAGGTGGAGCTTTAGACCCAGGTGGCAGGGCTCTTCACCACTACTATCCTCTACCTCTCAAGTAATTGAAAGGTAAGAAAAATGAAATTTAATTGTGGTTTAAATATTACCGTTTTGAATGCTGTTCCCAACATCTAACAAAAGCCAGGCTATAAATATTACAGCTTAAACCAGAATTGGTTCTTTTATCAGAACATTATTTATGAGTCTAGACAACTAAAGGCAAATTTCCATTTCAGCAAAACTCAGGTTGGATGCAAGAATGACAGAAGCCCCTGTTAGAAAGCTGTTGCCTTAAAAAAAAAGAAAAAAGAAAAAAGCTGTTTGCTTTATTTCAAAGGCTCACAAAACTCAGGGCTGGAAGGAAAGAACATTAACATTCATATGCAAAGACCTTTCTTCCCACCTCTACCCAATCACAACCCCCTCCTTCAGCTAATAGGCACACACAAGATGATTAAATTTTCTCTAAAGTAACCCAAGCAGTGCGCATACCGCCTCTCCCCAAACACTATGGGAGTCAGGACATTCGTGAGCCATTCTTCAAGTGCTCTGTATGGTACATGAATAAAAAGTAGCTGGTGCTTTTCCAAAGATTTTATTAAGTGGGTTAAAAACAAAGCAAAAGCTTAGAGTCACTGAGCAGATGAATGCACTCTTCCTAAAATAACTTCTTCACCAAAGTCAATCAGATGAGTTGGAAGGAAAGGGGGAGTGAAGTAATATAGAACAGAGGTGGCTGGAGTGACCTCCGGCTGGCTGGACAATGGTCAGGACTCCAGGAATGCTGGGTAGCCCTTTTCTGCATTTTTACGTTTTAATCACTGAAGGAAAAGTCAACAGAAATTTCCCTGAGGAGAAAATCAATGCTGCCCCTTGGAAAGGGATGAGACAGACAGAAAGAGAACCGGAGAGCTAATTAGTGCTACTCAGAAGGCAAATTAAGGCCTTTTCTTTGACAAGCTGCAAATAGCTGGTTAAGTAAGAGTTTCTGCCACCCCTCTCCAGCCTCCAACAGCTGGCTAAATGGCTGATGCAGGTATGCAAACAGGAAGCTGTAAACAGAAGGACAGTCCTGAGCTGCTGGACAAAGTGTACATAAGAAAAAGGCAGAGGTTTCTTTGTAGAAAAGAAACTCGCAATTGAGATGAACCAAGAATGAATAACAGTAATAATTTATTTTAAAATGCCAATGAAATGTATTTATTCAATAAATACTTATCCAACACCTACCAAGTCATCGATTCAAATGATCAGGTGCAAGTTCTGCCTTCAAAGGAGCTAACAACTTAGTTTGGGGAATGGTAATAAGTACACAAGTTAACTCTGTGCAGGGCACTATGCCATGTCCTTTAAATAAAGTAACTCATTTAATCTTCCTAACAAACCTGTAAGTTAGGTATTACTATTATCTCATTTTAGAAATACATTGGCTGAGCCTCAAAGGAGTTACACAGCTTGTCTGAGATTAGCAGACAGATGCCAAGTTCAAATCCTAGTCTAAGGCCCAGACCAGAAAATGACACTTCAGTCCTAACAAAGCTATTTGAAAGTGCCATGTGAGGACAGGGGAAGACCAGCCACCTATCACCCCAAGTGGATGCTTTTGAGCTCATACCAATCGAGGAGTTTTCCTGGTGAACAAGCCAGCAATGAGTTGTGGAAGCATTATGGGCAAACAGACTTAGCTTGGTATTTTTATTTCTCCAATTATCTGCATTGTTTGTTGTGCCTTGAAATAGGTTTCAATCAGTTCCAACAATTAGAATTAGCCCATTTTTATAGGCATTTTGAGCAAATTAAATTTTAATGACAAAAAGTTTTATGGCTTAGATTTCATTTTACTTCTGACCTTTCCTTCAAAGTTATCCACTGTAAGAAAAGCTCACATGCCATCATTTATTTGCAGTAACTACTGTCCCAAAACTACAGTTATAAGGCCTCAGGAAAAATAATTAGTCTCCACAGGATCAGTGTTACCAACGCATACCCATGGAAGAAAGCAAATGTCACAGCCCAACGTGTAGGCAACAATCTTCCAGATGCTTCTGGTGTCACTTCAAGGTACTCAGCTTCAAGGATAACTTCGGGTTGTGGAGGGAACATGTTCTCAGATCCCAGACCAGACGAACATACAGGGTGTAGACACCCTGGGCTCTCACTGGGAACCCTCATTTCCTCAGATTAGAAAGTGCAGTGTTGGAAAGAGCTAGCTCTAGTCTAATTTAACTTGGCCCCATGAGGCAATGCTGTTGTTTGTTGCCACAGCAGAACTGAACACCAGCAAAGACCTCTCTTCAACTTCCCTATCCCCGGATTCCACAGGACCCAATAGTGTCAATCTCCCAGGTAAAAACCGAGCCTCTAAAAGATCACTTAGAACAGAATAAGTACTCTGGACAGTGGTTGAATTGAAATCTTCCCCAGTGTGTATCCTAACTGAGGAAGTAACAGTCAGTACGTAAGTAATTACTGAGAAAAGAATTAAATTAGAACCAAGATTTTAATCTGATCCTAAAGTCTTTAAAAATCTAACAGATGTGCAAAGCACAGATAAAAACAAAATAAAATGGATTTACAAAAGAGGACGCTACATACTGATATTCAGGAGAAGAAAGGTTCCCCCGTACACTATTGATTACAATGCAAGGAAGAACAATATCCATTTTATCCTACGTGGCTTCCAACTCCTCAGATATCTTTCTTGTAATAACATAACCTTACTTTATGGGACAACACACAAAACAAAAATACTACATTCTAATCATCAACCTATAAAGAATAATAGATCATTTTTTTTCCATGGTTGCCCAAACTAAGGCATTTAATACTCCTTGCTCCTATTTCTATCTCATACCAAAAACTTCCTTTAAGAAAGGTTTGGTATTACCAAAATGGCTTATGAGTAGAGAAACTAAATCACAGGCATCAACATCTCGTAAGTCATGGTCTGCCCAGACCTACTGACAAGCAAAATTATACTTCATCCCTCATTCTGGGCTGCCCAAAGAGGTACCGATGGGCCAGCTCTTCACTGGACCTAGGTTCACCTACACAACCCTGTGTAAATTTTTTTAAAGGCATATAAACCTCTAACATGGATATCTTCATAGCAGGTGCATGGAGGTGGTTTTGTTCTCAGAAGAAAAACCAATATATCTGCAATCATGAATTTATATTCATTTATATTTCTGAGATAGTAGAAGAGTTCCCTAAAATTATATAGGCAAAAGACCACAATCCAAAAAAAGTATGCAATAATATATAATAATAATAATAGGTAATGAGCTGTCATGTATTATGGATAAGGGGAAGATAACTCACACTGCACACATGCGTGCATACACATATGCACACATGGAGAGACAGTTCAAACCTAAAATAAATGTTTAGGGAAGCAGCGTGATGCGGTCTAAAGAGAAAGTCCTTTGGATTCATCTGTGTTTAAATTTTGCCTCCTGCTCAAGCTCTATGCCTCAAGTTCATTTTCAATAAAATGGAAATAGTCATAATCACATCATAGGACTGTCACGAAGATTAATTAAGACAGAATATACAATAAGGCTTAGCCCAGTGCCTGTTGCATGAAAGACAATAAACTTCAGCTACCTTCTCCTTCCCCTCCCTTATGTGTTTCTGAAGGCTTTTTATTTTACTGACTTAAATGGGAATTCTTACAGCAGTTAAAAAAAAAAAAAAAAACAGTTCCTACACATTATATAGTCATTTACACATATGTATCTGTTGCAGCACCATAATTTGCAAAGAAAAACGAAGTAGTAATTTTAAAAGAAAAGTACCAGCTCACTTGCACTGCCTTTTCAAACCTTCAGCTTTACAGTCGACAGAGAGTATTTGCTCTAGGGGTGCAGATTCTGAAATAAAGGAAAAAATTCTCATGGGAAAAATGGTTCTCAAAAAAAGCCAACAAAGAAAAGATAATGAGGGGAAATCTAGGAGTATAGAAAGGAGTTTATTTTACTTAACAAAGTAAAAGTCAAGCAAAATGAATAATCTGCCTCCAGAAATGGTTATTTAAAGGCTTTTTGTAAAGGGCTCTGGTTCCTAAAAAGACAGGAGTCACTGCATATGCCCACCCACTCCTCATTTATTTTTAAACCCTAGCTTATATGTTCCTTAGCAACAGAAGGAGCAGATGAGACCCCCCTACACACACACACACACACACACACACACACACACACACCCCCTCTCTCCCAAAGCCCCCTTCTTTTTGCCTGTCAAGTTTCATTCCAAAAATATCCATGTTCTTCAAAAGATATTTTTTGCCTACCTGCAAATCTCCACTCCTCCACCTCAAATGATCCCCCTTACACAAGCAGCCATGCTCCATACCCTAACTGAGCCCTTTCACTCAGGCTCCATTCTGTGTGTCTTCCTGCCTTCTCTCCATAAGCTCCCACCGGACACCGTCCTCAGATGCCCCCAGAAGGGAGGTGCTGTGGTCCTCACTGAGGAGCCCACCCTCAGTTCCTGACAAAGTTGCTCGTTTTTTACACACCCTTTGTCCATCCCACAGTAAAACAGCCAGCCCAGCTGCAGGAGTCCAGCACCAATGGCCGCCATGATGAGTGGGCAGGCCACTCACCATGACTCCAAAACAAATAAGTAACAGTAATCAAAATGGACACACTTTCCTGTTACCCAGGGACAAATATGCTCCAGATGGAAGCAACTCCTTTTCACCATCTTTTCCTCTGACTTTGAGACTGACTGGCCCGCTTTGGCTGGGGAGGGTTTATGAGTTCAAAGATCAATTGTTTAGTCTTGGGGGCAAAATAGGGTGGCAATCCCCAGATATTAGTCTGCATAAACACCACCTGAGGAGCCTGTTAAGAATTCCCACCCACAGACAGTTTGATTCTGTAAGTCTAGGGTGGTGAGCACTTTTAACCAGCCACCTGAGGTGACACTGATGCAGGAATTGGAGACTGTAAAGCTTTATTTAAAAGGAAATGATGTTCATGAAGTAGAATCCACCTCTATGTATGGATTGTAAAGCAGACGCAATGTTATTATTCTTCTATAGAAACATGCTGCATCTATGTCCATGTCTATGCTTGTGTGTGTACACACTTACATGTGCATGTGTGAGCATGCAACTCAGGAAGCAAAACCCCACACAACATACATTTGGAAAAAGGAGGCTCAGAGAATGACCCCTGCCAAGAGGCAAGCTGAAATGATTTCCCTTGCAAACTCTGGCTTTGTATTCCTACCCAATGAGGACTCTGATGAATACCAATGAGCCAGGAGCAGCCCACACTGTGCTTCACGTAATCACCACCCCCTTCCAACTCTCTGCTCCTAAATTAGGCTGAATGTAGTCCCTGTTCCCCCAAGGGCCAGACAGGCCATCATAACTAGGAAGTAGAACTGCCAGTGTCCTAGCATACATCCCTAGAGCTACCCCCTCCCCATCATCTGTCTATTTTTAGAAACCAAAGTATAAAAAGAAAGATCAATTTGGACCTGATCTGTGTGAGTAACTAAGAGAACAACTCAGGTGGGGAACTCCCTCAGCGCACAGCGAACAAAATGCATGCGAGCAACGCAGAAGCAACAACCTCACCAGGAAGGCGTTTTAGGAGTCATCAGAAGTCAACATTTAGACACAGAGCACATGCCCTAGTGACTGTGGCCTCCAGGCCAGGCGATGTCTGTGGGGATCCCAATGATTCACACACCTGCCCCCATAAATAAAACACACCCTCCCAAACCCACACACCTCTGTCATCTGCGTTTGCTTACATAACAACACATGGTGTGACAGGCTTCATACTTTATATGGTTTTTGGGAAGGGAACACAAACTCAGAAAGAGTAGGATTACAAGAATGTTTTCACTGACCCCTTTTCCAGAAACCCTCTGAGCTCCAGCAAGTGTACATCTTTGTAAACCTGTGCTTGCATATCACCTCGACCTTTAACATCAACAAGCAGTAGGGTTAGTGTCGACAACTCTCCAGACCTGTCAATATCTTTATTCTTGCCTGCTAGAGGGAGGTGGGAGAGAGACCTTAATAAATCCTAATTCCTCGTTGTTGGATTCTAATGCAATGTGGGGTTATCTTTTATCCTAATTTAGAGGCCATTGATCCCACACTGTCCTTGTGTAAAGGGCTCCCACACTCATCCTTAGGTGCAAATATGGTCCCTACTCTCACCTTCACCCCTAGCTTGCCAGCGGGCTCCCCACACTCTCCTCCAGCCAGGAGAGAAGCAAGGAGCACGCAGGCATGGAACTCCCATAACCAGTGGCGCATCTACAGACATAAACCCACTCTTCCTTCATGAGGGATTTCGAGGCAGGTCCAACTTCCATAAGGATTTCTCTTCAGTATAGTGCTATTCTTTTCTGCCTGTCGGAGTGATCTCAGCTATCAAGTTAGTGCCAAAGGTTCATCCAGCGAAATCTGGAAGGTGGGGGAAGGGTGGTTGAAGATGACACCTGCTTAGGGGCAACTTTGACGACTTAAGGAAACTAAGCATCACTGAGTCTGCAACCCTTTCTCTCTCTCTTCTCTCTCTCTCTCTCACACACACACACACAGAGAGAGAGAGAAAGAGAGAGAGAAAGAGAGAGACAGAGAGACAGAGAGACAGAGAGAAAAGGAAGAGACAGAGAAATACGCACACACATACACACACACACACACAAATTTCTGTTGTTCTGACCTTAGGGACCCAGTGCTTCTCTCCTGCCACAGGGCAAAGCCGGCGTTGCTTCCCTTCAGCCTGGAATGATAGGATGGGGAGAGGACAGACATCCTCGGGAGGAGAGGGGAAAAGGGAGAAAGAGAGGCTTGGAAACAGAGAGGTGCCCAACTCCGCGGAAGCGCCCCTTGCTGGGGGAAGAGTGGGTCTCCCGCCGCGGCGCACCTGTCTCGGCTGCCGGCTCCCCGCGCCTACCTGTACGAGACCTGCTTCCGGAAAGTTAAGTTCCTCAGCTTCTCCTCCAGCGCCTCGTCCTTCTCCTTCTGGCCGGCGGCCGCGGACTCGTCCAGGGCAGCGGCCCCCGCCGCCGCGGCTGCCCCTGCGCCCCGCGGGTCCGCGCCGCCCTCGGCGCCCAGGCAGCAGCTCCCGGCGCCGCTTCCGCTGCTGCTGCTGCCGCCCGTCGCCCCCTTCTCCTCTCCCGCCGAGGAGCTGGGGTTCATGGCGCCCACTCCGGCGGCCGCGGAGGGAGCGCAGGCGGCCCCGCTGCAGAGGCCGGGCGGGCTGGCGGCGCTGGCGGCGGCGGCGGCTGCAGGAGCGCGGGCAGGTCCGCGCGCCGCTGGCAGGGGCAGCAAATGGCAGCCCCTTCCCGCAGCATCCATCCGCGGCTGCACCGCACCGGGGCATTGTGGGAAACTCCGCTCACTCCCCCGCCCCGGCCAATCAGAGGCCGCCGCTCCCCGCCTCCCGCGCCCTCCCGCGCCGGCCCGCGCCCTCCAGCCCCGCTGGCCCCTTCCTAAATCCCGAGCGAAATCCCGAGCTGAACCTGAACTCTGCCCAGAGGCGACGGGCTGCGGCGGAGGGGGAGAGAGAGGAGGAGAGGCTGAGCCCCCGGGCTGGGGACGCCAGGGCAAGGACAGCGAGCATCAGGAAGGAGAGGGTCCGGGGAACTCGAGTGGCCGCGCCCTGTGTCCTGCACCGCGAGGCTAGGACCAGGACCGGCGGGCGCCCACCTTGGTCCTGAGCCCGGCTGCGGACGCTGGGCCGGCACCCTCTCCACCGCCGCCCTCCAGTGAGCAGAGCTGGGGCCAGGCAGCAGCCCCCGGGCGCGGGAAGGTAGCGGGAGCTGCATTTAGAGGAGGGGGGAGGTAGCAGGAGCGCCGCCGGTGGGAACCTTAGAGCGAATTCGTCGGCGGGTGCCAAGTCGAAGCGCTGACCTCCGGTCTCAGGACTGGGGCCGGGACCCCTGCGTCCCGGAACCGCGTCCCCGCCTTGCTCCTCGCCTGGCGCCTTCCTTACGCACAGCAGAAGCTCGCTAAACAGCGGTTAATTCGATGGGATCGGATCACAGGGCCCTCGGTGAAGCAGAAAGGCGGAGGAAATCCAGGAGGCAGAAGTCCTGAGGAACCGAGCGCCTGGCGCCGTTACGGTGTTCCGATAAGGAGAAGAGGCATCCCAGAAGGGGCTTCAAACCACTTAGGACCGACTGCTGAAACGAATCCAAGCCTGTGGTGTCTGCAGAATTTAACTGTCCGCCTCAACCCCAGTTTTTGTTTCTAAGATTATCGAAAACTGTGCGGTTTGAGTGATGTGCTACACAGTGTTTAAAACAGATTGTTTCCCAAATTAGGGGTTTCCACACAAGAAATCGCTGCTGTCGGCAAACACAGGAACGATCTACGGTTAAGACAAGGTGGTGTTCGTAACCAAACTATAAACCTACACGTATGTGGTGGTAAGAGAACCAGACCAGTGAACAGTTTCAGGTTGGCGTGGTGTGCCCATGAACAAAGAAGTTTAAGACTGGCAAAAATCTAAATTGCTTTCTTTCCCTTTATTTTGTCATCGCTAAAATTAGGAAAATGAACAGATACGTCAAACCTCTTCTAACACCCATGTTCTGTAATTCTGCTTGTATGTACCTTATAGTAAGATAAAGGTAAAGACATTTCCGTGTGCAACGAGGAAAAGTAATAAAATTAAAAACAGCTAACAAGTATGAAGCCCTCCTTTTTATACGGTAAGTGCTGTATAAGCACTTCCCTCGTCCACCTCTACGTTTTCACAGCACCTCTCAAGGGTTTGGACACGTGTGAGGACAAACTGGCAAAGCCAATAGTCAAGCCAGGCTGCCCAGTGGTCTTTGTGCTTCACCCCGGTTTAGTGCACCCGTCTTCGAAAGGAATATGGTGTATTAGGTGCTTCAACAGCAAGATCCATGAATATCTAGCACATCCCTAAAATCAAGCAAATGTCATCTGAACCCAATTACTGGGACAGCCCCCTCACTACTCCCACTTACTTTCAGCGGTATCTTCCCCAATCCAATCTCTAGTGTGAGCCCCAAGATACTTCTGCTTTTTCACGCCTCCACTTAAAAATCTTCTGATTATGTCATATTGCCATTAGGGTAAAGTTCAAACAACTCAACTGATTTTGAGGGCTACATTGGTGGGTGGTGGAGTACTGCCCACTTTCCCTTCATACTGTCATGACAGTGAGATTCTGAACTGTTCTGTGTGCAAACCCCACACGCTCTCTGCTCTCTCCATTCCCATTTTTGCACGTGTGAGTCTGCTGTCTCCTCTTCTTTGCTTCTCCTATTCCTAAGATTTGCCAAGCCAACTACTCTATACCTCCATCGGATTTTAGTTTACATGGCTCGCCCCATGTTTTTCCCCACTAGAAGCCTCCATTGATGGTTCCTTTCTAGATTGTGATGGATGTACCTCCCATAGCTCCCACTGCACCATTGTACTAAACTTGGACCACTGCAACTGTCCTGTGTGCACTTCTCCCACATGTATATAAAGGCTATATGTGTTTATCACTATATTCTCAATAATAATAAACAGATAACATAATAGCATAAGTGTGTATATTATAGACCATCATGAAGTGTTTATTGAATGAGAAAAGAAATATACATCATTGTGAACATAATGAAAAGATGTCATTTTTCAGAACAGTTTGATAATAGATGGTATTGATGAGGGGGGTATGAAAACAAATGTTTTCTCCAATTGTTGATTTACTTTAACTAGTAAAATCTCTCTGATGGTAAATTTTACAGTATCCATTTTTGAAATGCATAATCTAATTAACCAAGCAATTTCGCTTCTGAAAATTCATCCTCTGATATACTTGTAGGTATACACAAGGAATTTAAGAGTGAAAACCACCTAAATTGTTATTCATCCAAACGATGGAATTCTCTGGAGCTGTCAAGATAAATAAGGCAAGTTAATATTCATTAGATAAAACAATCTCGAATATATGATGCTAACAAAAAAAGAAAAACCATGCTCAGAGTGTTTAGTAGTATGCTATCATTTATGGAGAAAATAAGATCTATAGAAATATAATATTTCTGGAAAGATACATAAGAAAATGGTCACAGTGAAGTGCAGTTGAATGGCTCTAGCTAGAATCTTGAGGTTTTGCCTGATTCAATAAATACGTACCAACAGAATGTCTCCCAGCCTATCAGAAAAGCCAGCTTGACCTGTCAAGTGTGTATTTGTATGTTTAAATAGTGTCTTAATGGGTTGCTAATCAGAGGAATATTGGGTTTTTAAAAAAAACAGACATTGAACATTAACTCTAACTTAAGACGGAGAGACATTTGGGAAGCACAAATAATTCCAGCAAAAGACAAATGAATTCTGTTGTGGGGTGGCCTCCTGAGAAGTTACTTAAAATATTAGTCATTCTCTTGGACAATTTATTTTCCTTTCTATTTTTCAGTGATGCCAAGTAACCTTGTAATTATTCATCCTGCTTCTTAGTTTCCTTGACACTAAAAAGTGGAATCCTTGAAAATGGGTCAAAAGCATTCTAATCACAAAAATAAATTGACATTGTGCTTTGAAACTGCATTGCATGTGATTTTGAGTAACATAAGTATATAACCAAGAAAATGAGCATCTCTGGGTGTATTGAAACATCTAGTGTCTGGACCTGAAAGTATAATCTCAGACCTCAGATGGACAATGTTTCCATCACTGGGCCCAAAGCCATGCTCCATTTGGTGAGCTTCTTAACTCACCTTTCTATTATTAATTACTGTTCAATCTAAAAGAGGTATCATCCTAGTCTTAAATACCAAACTTGAGTCTCCTAAATGCTAGACTTGATGAAAGGGCCTCAATGTGAAGTTTGAAAGAAAGAAGAAAAAAAACTTAAGTCTAGATAAGACTGCAAGACCAAATAATAATGAGAACATTATATCTAACATTTTTAAATGTATGTAGTTTTCAGGAACTTCAGGAATTTTCCAGAAATAACACATAGTCATGTTTTTTAAAAAGCAAGTGACACATTTAAATATGCATATGCACACTTTGGAGACCTCAGTTATGTATAAAACCAGGGAAAGATAATAGAGCTTTTGAAAATGTTGTCACTGAGGAAAAAAAGAAGTAGTAGTTTCCAGAATTAATCTTGCATGTATCATGTTTTACAGAAATGATAACTGAGCTTCCTTGTCAAAGCCTACAAGGTCCTACCTGGTCTCTCCTGTGCCTCCTCCATCCCTGCAGTCGCTCACCTTCTCACTCAGCTCTCCTAACATCCCTTTTCTCATACATGCTGTATTACTCCATTTTCACACTGCTATAAAGAACTCCCTGAGACTGGGTAATTTATAAAGGAAAGAGACTTAATTGACTCACAGTTCCGCATGGCTTGGGAACCTTTAGGAAACTTACAATCATGGCGGAAGGTGAAGGGAAAGCAAACACCTTCTTCGCATGGCCGTAGGAGAGAGAGAGCAGGGAATTAAGGGGAAAGAGCCCCTCATAAAACCATCAGATCTCATGAGAACTAACTCACTATCATGAAAACAGCATGGGGAACCAACTCCATGATCCAATAACTTCCCACCACGTCCCTCCCTTGACATATGGGGATTAC